CCGAGACTTCTTCACTGGCCTGCCCCAACAGTACCATCCCCAGGTCTACACTGACTTTGCTGACCTGACCTCAGACGACCAGGAGCTGCAGATCGTGTGCAGAATCATCGAGGCGGCCATATGGTACGTCACTGCCGAGAGTGAACAGATTGAGGTGCTCTACAGGTCGCGAACATCCTCCATCGCCTCTTCCAAATGAGGTGCCCACCTCTTTTCCTGGTGAGTTTTTAGAAGTTCAACCCGAGGGAGCTATCACGGCATCCCCCAGCTCGTAGTACTACGCGACATGCTTGATACCTAGGGTAGGTAGGTATGTACCTACCTGTACTTGAGTAGACGCCCCCCTCCTCCAGAATGCAAGGGGAAACAGAAGAAGGAAAGGACATGAGGCTATAAATACAAAACACAGTTCATACATGCTCTCGTGCGTGCGCCGTGACTGCAGGGCTTTGCGCGTTCCAAAACCCCCCTCCCCACCCAAGAATAGTCCCAACGCTACTCGTCCTCCTCGTCGGCCTGTCCGCCTTTGGATCGCCGAAACTTCTCCCGCCCTGTCGCCAGCGACGCCTCGATGACGCGCCCGTCAAAGCTCCGCCCGTCCATCATGGCAATGCAAGCCTGCGCCGCCTGCGGCTCGCGAAACTTGACCGAGACGACACCGTCGGGCTCCTCGTCAAAGAGGACGACGTTCGTGACGGCGCCGAGCTTGGCGCACTCCTCGCGCACGTCCTCCTTGATCTCCAGCAGCGCCGCCGGGTCCTCCTCGAGCTCCGCCAGCGTGAACATGTGCCGCAGCACCACGAGCCGGTCCCACTTGGACGCCGAGGCCGTCGGCAGCGCCGCCGTGTCGTCGTCGCTCCAGTCGGCGAGCTTGGCGTCCAGCTTCTGCGTCTTCTTGATGATCTTCTGCCTGTCCCTGTCGCGGTCCGCGCGGCTCTGCTGCTGCTGCTGCTTCGGGGGCAGCGGCGCCGCGCCCTCGGGGGCCTTACCCTTGGCGTCGGCGGCGCCGTTTTCGTCGTACGTCGTCTTCTTGTAGCTCGCGTCGGCGGCCTGCACGCGCATGCGGCCCGAGCCGCGGCCCGACGGCTCGACGCGCAGGTCCGTGTCGTCGAGCAGCATGATGGCCATCTCGACCGACTGGGGCTTGAAGAAGACGACGAGCGCGTCGCCCTTGAAGCCGCCGGA